TATTCCCAGGGCCACAAAAGAAAGAAGCGACTTTGATGGCTCAAAACTTCGTACACTCTGCTTCTATTAACTGACTTGAATGGTTTAATTAACTACATAAGGAACAATGTATAATAGCATTTACTCCCCACCAAAATGAATTGTACATGTCTGTATTTCAAACTCAACGTTTCAAGGCTACTTCTGGTCCCTTCCTCATTCGTAGACACTTGCAAACATAAAGGTACATGTAGGCAAGGCAGTACAGAGCAGACACTTACAAACGAATTACAGTGCTTTCAAAGACCATACGATTGTCATTACAGTGTCAGTGATTAATTATGTGTAATCACATTAGACATTTGGTCGAACACAATGATTTTGATGTTTATAACAGGCCTTGGTCTTCGGCGTGACGAGAGAACGCTTTAAACACAAGGCTACCCGACCGCCCCTATTTGTGCAATGGGTGGAATACCTAATAATAATGGTCACTGAGTACGAACGCCAAAGGACAATGTAGCTGAGCTTGGGTACAAAACTACTTGTCCATCTGGTGTTCAAGTGCTAGGAACAGCCTCGTAACAGATCGTCTTGCTCGGTAACCTTTATTCCATCTAGTGTTATCGTCTGTCAAGAGATGCACACGTTGATGAGGCTCCCTTTCGTCGAGGAAAACGCTGATAAACGAAATTGTTAGTGTACAATGAAGTCAGTCGGATCATTTCCATTTAAAATGTAGCCAAAAATGTTGTATTGTTGATATGGCAGTCAGGTTTTGTTGAGATTTTAAAAGAGAGTTCTAAATGGTGGGTACACCTTTTAGCGGACACCTGATATCATCATCGACTGATTCATAAAAACATGCTGTACTCGGAATTGGTTTGGTATCTTTTGTTGAACTATGGAATTGTGTGGCGTTATGGTGGAAATGAATTATGTGTTTTCTTTGCTATATTAGGTTTCCTGCCTGTCACTCCCTGTTAATGACGTGAATGTATTCGTATCTAGTTGTAGAAACATACAATGCCTCGTGAACACTGGAGCCATCAGTTTGACTACTTCGTCAGCCTACTTGGATTGAGTGTTGGATCTGGAACATTCATCAAGTTTCCATTCTACTGCATGCGCAATGGAGGAGGTACGTTGTGTGTGGCACCAACTTGCTCTGAACGTAACAATAACTTCTCTAATAATTACAGTGATTATTGCACATGAACTATTTACATTATGAATGGGAATGATTGCAACTATTGTACATTGCATAAATACGAAAGATGTCAACATTAGCATTTGTTAAACCAAAAAGAGTTAATGTCAGAATGTGTTTAAAGTACGCTAATTGGGATTTTAAAGGAGGGGGTACTTTGTGTGAGATTGAAGTACATGTTGGGTGTGGAGGATGGGGCACGGTTTACTTCTCAGTTCCTAAAGGGAACACAACTGACATTTTTTTTTACTTTCACAAAGGAGCATTTCTGATACCTTTCCTATTCTTCACAATGATCGGAGCCATTCCATGTGTTTTCCTGGAGATGACTATTGGCCAGTACTCACAGAGTGGACCGATTAACGTCTGGAACTTGTGTCCCTCTTTCAAAGGTATATATCGAAACCTGACTGTATTGTACAAGTGAGTGGTCTTCGCCGCGACGAGCGAATAATTTAACCAATAGACTACCCCACAGTCTCATTATTGTACAAACATTTACATAACGGAATAGTAATATATTCATAAATCTTAAATGAGGAGATATGGGATGAAGGGGGAAAATCATTGTCAACCATATGATTGCCTGAATGATCAATTTCATCATTTGATTGCCAAATAAATTATTGATGCACTTCTATTCACCCATTTACAAATCAACAACTAACCAGTACTCGTTATCATGTATATCTATTCATGAGCTCTGATAATCTATGAATCAGAAACAATGCTTTTGTATTCAATTTGTTACTTAACAATCTAGTAGATCTTAACCAAGTCAGTGTAAGCAGAATATGAGAAGAAACAACCAAAAGTATCCTTGAGGATGATTGAATGATAGATTAATGTTGTCTTAAATACGGAAAGCTTTTGCTCAGGATATCCAGGTATATTGGAGCGGGTCGTGCCTTGCATTAATAAATAAAGCGACAAAACCCTTTCCACGTGCGATAGAAATCTCTGCATAAAGCAGAGTCGATTGTACAATTCTGACTATATCATGAGCATGTGTTTATGAATCACTATCAAATAGTAATGATACCAGGTGTACGCGAAAAGGTGAGCGTATCCTGCCCCACCAAAGACACTATTCACAAAGACATGCAAAGACAAGGCAATTGTTCACCTGAAAAAAAACCACGGGAACATGTCTACCATAAAAGTTCTTGAAAGCTTTATAGGTAATTGCATCGGACATCATTTTTGTCACTGATACGTAAAATTTGGAAGTGTCATCCACATGTCTACCATAAAACGTTTTGAAAGCTTTACTTAGGCCTTGAATGTTGTAACCTTGATCAAACAACTTCTGAGCAAGAGTCGTATGACGCTCTTTGAAATCTTGGTAGAAAGAGCATGCTCGATTGTATCTCAAAAGTTTCGAAATGTAAACACCAAAGGCTGGAGCGGCTGGAATATTGCTCGACATGAATTGAAAGTAGACTATTGGAAAGTTGAAATCATCCCTCTTGTCATACACTCTTGTTGAGAATGTTTTGTCACTCTGGATCTTTATGCATAGATCTAAATATGAAACAGAAACAGATTTGGCGGTATCACTGGGCTCCTCTATTTCTAGTTCAGGTGGGTAAATCAGTGGACGGGAATTGGCTATTTGATTGTTATTGACGATATCAGATCATCGATAAACCTGAAGCTTAAGTTAAACGTCTTGCCCAAATAACCTTGTTTTGACTTTAACAATCCGAACAGAAATTCCGACTCAAATGCATAAAGAAACATATATTCAAGAAGAGAAGCACAATTGGTGCCCATAAGGATGTCTACTTCTTGCCTTAATGTCTTACCCATATTTTACATAGATGTTATCAATGAAAAAGTCCAGCATTTTACATATTGTTTTCTCAGTAAATATTTGATGTTAATATTCACAAATCACTGGAGACCAATAAAAATATGATTATATGATATAGATTAAAATCTAGCTAGTACAGCTTAACCTGCTGCGTCGGTCAATTTAAAATGAAACACTGATTTCATAATTTAGAAAGAGAATGCTAATCAATACAAAATATTCTGTAGTCTCTCCGCCGAACCTCGATCATTGTCAAATCAATATGACTGCTTATTTGGTAATTACTTTTTCGTGCCCCCCATGAATCTTGAACATAACAATATCTTAAATGATAGAATCATCAACACATGACTGACTAGTGGAATGGAGCCTCCATATTTGTAACACCACATGAATCTGCTACTCTTGTGTCGGCTTATAGTTTAAATGATAGGCATCGTACGTAAATCAGGCGTGATATTGTAATGGGCATGTAGATCCTGAAAGCAAAAATTTTGGTAACGTAAAAGAGATTCATTTTAGTATGTAATGTTGTCTGGAAATGGGGTGACGGTTTCAGATTTTGCAAGTTTTGCAAACATTTAATCTACTTTGGTGTGTGTTTTAAAATTAGGCCAGTCGATGTAGTAAACAGATACATGTCGATTAGAACTTGTAGATCTTTTAAGAAACTATAATTGTGTTGGTGTTACCCTTCAAGGTTTTATAGTAGATTCTAACTAAAAATATCACCAATTGTTAACGACACTGTAGTCCACTCAAATACGTAAACAACAGTTTAAATTGTCAACAAAGAGAGCCACTTTACATTGACAACATTGCTGTTCAAAGAAATAATATCGTCATAAATACTGTGGACAAACGTATTAACATTAACACAAAAGAACAATGTTTCTAAATATTCAAGAAAGAATGTACAATGTACTTCTGTATAACACTGTTGCTATACAAAACAAATACATTCTTTACATCAAGTTTCAACTTTGGGCCTTAAATACCTCCAAGGAGAATAAGTCTTAGGCCATTTATGTTAATTTTTTCAACTTATTTCACAAATAAACACAAAATCCTGAAAGTCTACATGAGTAGACACTTTCTCAGTTTGGCAATTTCATAGAGTAAAGACATCGGTGTTCTCGTTTGTGTGAACAAGTATGTGACACAGGGTGTGAAATTAAGGTTATTATTTACAATATGGCAGAAAATGTAAATGTTTTGATGCCCACTACCACCTGAACATATACACCCATTCAATGTTGAACAAAACTGACAAGGTATTACAGATGTCGCGAAACACGGATCACTAGCAACTATATACCAAATTTAAAATAAAGAATAATGTTCATAAGTAGTTTAAGGTTTTAGTATGAGAGAAGTGCAAATGTCAAATCAAGGTCAAAATATATCACATCGCAAAAACACGGAAACAAGAATGTTGAGTCCACCTACTAACTGCACACTAACTACCAAATTTCATCATTATGATCACACTTATGTTTCATCCTTTTCTATTACAGGTCTTGGCGTGGGAGCTGTAATATGTGCCTGGTTTTTCCATAGCTACTATAATGTCATATTCTCCTGGTTCATGTATTACCTCTTCTATTCCTTCTCTGAAATACTTCCTTGGGACAACTGTAACAACACTTGGAACACACCTACATGTATATCTAGCAAGGATCTTCGAACTTTTACAAATGTCACTATTCCGTCGTATAATGCAAGTGCGACTGGAATTACTGCCAACATTACTGGGGTGACTGCTGCTGAAGAATTCTGGAGGTAGGGTTTACATGTTTTATAAGTAATACCATTTTGAATTCTAGCAATTACATAACTTCGTAAATTGGTCTACCCCAATATATCAATTACCAATAAGGATAGTTCCTGACGAAATGTAAAAGTACATTATTGAAACTTCTTACAAAGCGCTTGTTATGCCATAATGGATATTTGTCTTAAAAGACTATCCATTCTATTTAAGAAACAAGGTACTCGAAATGACTGATGGTCTGGATAATCTCGGTGGCGTTAGATGGCATCTTGTTGGATGCCTGGTGATCACACATTTGATATTATTCTTGTGGATTTTCAAAGGAATAAAAGTATCGGGTAAGGTAAGGAAGCCAATAATGTCCTCAAAATTACAAATGATGGCAGCGAAAAATCAACATTTGCCACGCATATGATGAACACATAGATGCAATAGATTTTGATGAAATGTTAACTGATTATAAAACTATACCCATTAGGGACGAATAGGTTCATCTCTGTCCTGTTCTTATTTTAAGGATTGACTGAACTGTATCGGTGGATGAGGCTGCGTTACTTAACTGATTGCATGTCATCGTACCCTGATGGTGGCATGTGTGAATGATCCATGTTAGGTCAAAAGACTGGTATCGTAATTGCATGAGCAACAATCAAAACTCTCATGGGGTGTTGATGCAAAATTTGGTCACGCATTGTCAGAAGCCAATCCTATCTGGTGTAAATGTTAATACCAAATATTAGATCAAAGTGAAGACGACAAACATCCCATGCAAGAAAGTTTATGTCGTAAAACTGGTAGCCATCAGCATGCAGTGGCCATTACGTTCAATGTTTCAGTCTATGATTAGCAGGCTATCGAACAGGTGCCATCAAATCCAAAATGTTGACGATCGATCCGATTCAGGGCATCCCAGGTCAACCACAAGAGCACATGATCGATTGATCCGAAACCGGGCTCTATGAAATAGAGCTCGTCCTACAAATCAAATTGCTCCACACTTCAAGCAGGCTACTTGGGTACCAGTTACGGGCCAGACGATTAGAAATTGTCTACTGCAGCCCACCTCTATGCTCGACGGCCACATGTTGTGCCGTCCCTTACAAATCGACGTATTGTCATACGTCAATGGTGTACACAAAGTTGAAACTGGACTAATCGTCATTGGTCAAGTGACCTGTTTTCAGATGATTCTCGATTCACTTTGCTCTGCCCTAATTGCCGTGGTCGTGTCTGGCGACGTCAAAATGAACGTGAAGCAAATGTCAACCTGAAACCTTAGGACAGATTTACCGGTTAATCTGTTTTGGTGTTTGGTGGCATCACTATAGCTGAACGAACGAAGAAGGGTCACTGGACAATACTATCGGAACACCATACTTACACCCTTTGACGTCCCGTCTGCAGGCATGTGTGTATTGTCAGTCGTCAATGCTCACCTCCAGGAGCACAACATCCACAGAATGCCATGGCCAGCAAATAGCTCAGATCTTCCCCAATTGAACATGTCTGGGACATGATAGGGAGACATGTGCATTAACGTCATAGGCTGCCGATCACATTGGCTGAACTTGGCCAGGCTCTGCAAGAGGGGATTCCCTCAAATAACAATTGGGAGACTCATACGCAGTATGCCTCGTCGAGTGATTACATGTTTGACAAATCGTGGCGTCATTATGCACTATTGCTCCAAAAATGACAACTTTGAAATTTCCAGTCCTACCCCAATATTCCTTCAGGATCGCTGGTGGTCATAACATTTGCTGTCATACTTCACTTCTGGTTGAACTGGTGTTCCCCATTCGTTCATTATTATCATAAATCTATACCTAGAAACTTACAATTTTAAGAATTTTAACTTATTTCCGAGTATCCCTGACTTTTTATAAGAGGATATGTTTCAATATTGGATAATTGTATAATATGTAATTATTCTATTTGTTCTTCTATATCAACGAAAAACGAAAAGTTAGCAAAATACAACATACAGCCTACCTCCAGTATCATGTATAAATTGTACTAAGTGGTTACCTTGTTCGCCATTTAAGCGAAAGTATATCATGTGACATTTAACCCCTGATTTGGACAGAACATTTTCTTCAACCAGCTTGCCTACATCACCGTAGCTCTTCCCTACATCCTCATCACAGTGTTTCTCATACGAGGTTGCCTACTTCCGGGATCAGCTGATGGAATGTACTACTACATTTATCCAAAGTTTGAGAGGCTTACGGAGCCCAAAGTGAGTTTGCTACCGTCGGTCATGTTCAATTTGAATCATAAAACAATTATTATGTTTACATCAATAAAAGCAACACGACCTCTACCATGTTCATAGGAAATCACTGCCAAAAGCAGAGTCAACTGTACGATTCCGACTATATCATGATGAGCATGTGTTTATGAATCAAATATTGATCTTAACAAAAAGCTGAGCGTATCCTGCCCCACCAGTGGAACCCGTCACGAACACATGCACATTTTGACATCCACCGAGGCAGTGAGTTACTATGATCAGCTAGTAACGACTTAATGATGAAGTAAGATGAAATTATCTTGTCAGCATATAAATTCAGGTCATCTATATTGTTCAATAGAGGAATCTTAGTTCAAGCCTGGTCAAAACTGCCTTTGAGTAAAATAATATAGAACTGCACCAGGCGAGAGACAACAAAAACAAGGCAGTTCACAATCACTTTAGAAGAAATAAGAAATTACGTTTTCATTGGAGCAATTAAATAGTATTGAACAGTACAAAACAGTACAGAGGGCTCTTAAAAACACCATACACCATGGTTTATGCACTCGCAATTAAATCCACCACCTAATTGAGAGGGTTAAAGACAACGGAAGGCACCACTTAGCCAAATGACCTCAAAAGCCAAGGCAAATCGGAAACATGATCGTTGAAGCGTCACTTCAAGGGCAATTACACAGAGCCACTGGTTTGTTCACACAGTCACAACTTTGAGAAAGAACCGGTACTGCTCTGCACTGCACTGTAATAAGTTCTCTTGATCTTGATTAGGTGTCACGGGGAAGGTTTTCTTTGCAAACATATCAATAAAGACTGCAGTCAAGAAGGTCTGCACTCCAGAAGGACGGTTCCATGCATTCAGCTATTTTTACCTTTCGCCAGTTCACCAGCGGGGTTACAACACCTGTCCACATTGAGTCTTGACAAACAATACGACTAATATCACAGATATCCACAGACCTGTGAGGTCGTCTAACCGAGATCCAATTGAGCATTATTGGGATCTAGAGATAACAATGGCAGAAATTCTCCAGCAACTTTATCACCTCATTTGTTGAATTAGATGAAGTAGAGAAGCTTGCATTTACGCAAATAGTGAATTATTACTAAATTTTGATGAAACGAGCAATTGTTGATCCCATTCTGTTACTGCCATTAAGTTTTGTAAGTTAAGATAAACATACCAAAACACCTATAATGTAATCGCTAAATGTCTTACTGTCATTGCTTCCTGTTTTATTTCCACATTTTCTTTGAGGAAATTCAAAAGTGGTTTTTAACTGGATAACAAACATTGATTCTGATTCTTCTGTGTGCTTGTAGATATGGATCCAGGCCTGTAGCTATGCACTGCATTCAATGGCCATCGCGTCTGGATGTATTACCTCCATGTCTGGACACAACAAAATGAAGAACAACTGCTTTTCGTATATTTCATGTTTACTCAGGCTGATGTTTATATCCCGTATATAATTAACCATGTTAAAATCATTGAAGAAATCTGTATTATTCATTCCTAAGTTATATCATGATGTGTCAATTTGATGTGAAAGGGAAACAGGTACGAAAGATAAAGCCAGAAATCTAATTAGGGCGATTCTAGGATTCGAACCTACGCGTATAGCTTTCTGACACGCCCAAGGGATGCGATAAGGGAATTTAGATGCCATATATTAATTTACCAATGCTCGAGGGTTTAATCAAAGTGGTAAACGTCTAATACCTGCATCACTTCGGCTTTCCTCCACCATCAAGCTGACATTGCATGATATACCGAATACTGTTCAAAGTGGCGTTAAACCAAACTAACTCACTCATATGTTAATTAGTGCAAACTGTGTGTGCAAAGTGAATCCATAAATGTCTCAGACCCGTATAGATCTGTGGTAGAATAGGTCTTCAGCAACCAATACTATGCTTGCGTAAGAGGCGATCGGGTGGTCAGGCGCGCTGACTTGGTTGTCGCATGTCATCGATCCCGACTGCGTGGATCAATGCTCATGATATCAATCACTGGATTGTCTGGTCCAGGCTCGAATATTTACAGACCGCCGTCATATAGCTGGAAAATTGCTGAATGCAGTATTAATCAACAAACAAATAAATAAACATAAATGTTCCATGTGATCTACACGCCACCTGCGTCTTTAACCCCCTTTCTGTTGTACTGTGCACTTTTGGGAGATCACCAACCAACCTTCTAGTGTCATGGTACACACACAGTTGAACCTTTGTGACTTGAAGGATTGTTCGTTTCAGACATGCCGTATGGCTTTGCTTGGCTGATTCTCTCTCAAGTATTTTAACCGGATTTGCTTTCTTCACAATCGTCGGTAACGTCGCCTACATGCGTGGAGTAAACGTTGATGCGTTTGAGTCATCAGGTCAGTGACCAATAAATACGTAGTTACATTTGTGCTATAGATTTTATGGATGAATAGGACCTACTTCATAATAATTTCTATAAGTCGTCGAAACTGTGGTATAGTAATTTTGGGTTACCTTGTCTACTTTGAGTGGCAAGTGCATACACTGTGATGCCCTAAGGTTGCTCAATGTTGGAACAACTGGGGCTAATTACTGGCCTGGGTAATCTGGTGATGCCCTGCTGCTGCATGGACACTATGACAATCTGACGAGGTGGACATGTGAATTGTTGCCTTGAAGACAAAATAACGCCATGCATCGTTAACATAACGTAGATAGCTAGGCTCTATATTTTTTTCTGTGACTCATCCATAGGACGTCGTGTTCTATCTGTCATATTCCCAAATCATAACATCACTGAACCACCACTATACACGTCATGTTCGCATTGACGTTGACAATACGTTCATAGGCTCCAAACACGTCTGGGAACACTGTGTGTATTGGCTTCAATAAACAGATTTTTACCTATCTTAAGCAGGACCATAGCCCTAGACGTTAATCGTGTCGCTTACGTTGCAATGTTAAGTTCAGTGTTAATTTTACTATTTCAACAGGACATGCAATTACAACTGATCCATCTGTATTGAATGTTTTTTGTATGCCTAATGTAAATGCATTTCATGATGCCTCCAACAAATTAACAACTATTTGAACTATAGAGGAAGACTCCAGCATATTTTAGAATTTGTGAATTATTTCAAAAATATTGCACCATATTGACGATAAATTTGAAAGGAACAGATGATAAAAAGGGGGCCCATTTTGAAACTTTGGATGATATTTGTTTTTGACAAAATGTTCTGAATCTTTGAGGATTGATATGTAACTATACAGCAAACGTTTCATGACAAATGCACGTATTACTTCAAGTTTGTCGTGTGGTAACACACACATATTAATGCAAACTGTGTTTCAGGTTACAACCTTGCCTTCATCGTTTACCCTGAGATGCTGGCCTCTCTCCCGTTTCCCCAGTCATGGTCGGTCTTGACATTTGTTACATTGATGATGTTGGGAATAGATTCTATGGTAGGGGAGATGCCTAGCTTAAGTTAGTTGTATACATTCAGAAACATCCTTCTGATTAGTCAGTTTGGGACCAGAAACTGAAAATAAATAAATAAAATATTTTTAAAGCTTTTTCCTCTCTAAACATCGACAGGTAACTCCAAATAACCATTCATCAATAATCGTTAGTATTATACAACATAAGCGTGGGTAAGTGATTATTGCTCAACGTGTCATCAGCAATCAAGCATCTATTCACGGTGAGAAATGTATATTTGTATATAATGTAACAGTAAAAGAGATGCTTAAGCTCTCTAAAATATCAGTAAAATTTCACATCCAAGGGTAAAACCTAACTGTGCGAATGAAGATATGTATGGTAGATATATATCATAGAGATTGATTTCTGTCCATTATGGCAAAATACGTTTGTTAAGACGGAGACGGAGACGGAGGATCCCACTCTAACTTCAAAAAGCCCATTTTCTACAAATGTGAAATAAAATCAGAACAAAATAACAATTCAATACTGCTTGCTCGTAAAAAATAAATGTGGATAAATTAGTCTAATCCGACTATTTGATCAATGGTATGCATAGTGCCCAAAACAACACTGAATATCAGTGATAAGTTTCTTCTGTTACCATGTCAGGATCCCATGGACCAAAGGAGTATATAAATGCACTTCTGTGTGAAGATGGCTCTTGCTGTTTAGCAAAATATTTGGAATAGCAAATAGAATGTTTTTAGTTAAGTTAATAGGAATGTCATTCTGGTCCTATCATGACATCCGTGTAGACTGCTGGAAACGAATGAGGGAACAATTAAAACTACATGTATAGACAAATAAACTTTACTGTCAGTACATTTGAAATGGTGCGCATGCTTGCCGAAACAAGCAACTGGGCTTGTCGTAAAAGGCGACTACCGGGATCGGGTGGTCAGGCTGGCTGACTTGGTTAATTACATGTCATCGTATCCCAATTGCGTGGATCGATCCTCATGATGGCAATCGCTGGATTGTCGATTATTTACAGACCGCCGTCATATAGCTGAAATATTCCTGGGTGCCGCGTTAAACAACAAACAAACAAAATGTACAAATTCAATACATGTCAGAACCAAATGTTGAGATGTGTTTGTGTGCATTGTTTCCAACGCGTATATTGTAGACAAGGCTGGGAACCCGTGATATCATTTGACCGTGTCTACAACTAAGTGTTCCCTCATTCATTTCCATCAGTACATCTATGTGAACAGACGTCAATTAGGTTTATTTCATATTTAGTGGCATTTATCTTAAATAATATGCCAGAACATTCTTACGGCGAACTTAAGGTGACCCTTGGTGTCTACATTTTACAACTTTTGAGGTATAGTCACCCCTCTTGTCATACAGGAATGTGGCAAATGTTTTGTGACCCTGAGTCTTTATGTCGACGGTGTCATTGGTCTCCTTTATTTCTAGTTGGGCAAATCAGTGCAAGGAACTAGACTATTTGATGGTTATTGAACGGCAACAGACCATCGATACACCTGAAGTTTAAGTCAAACTTCTTGTCCAAATCACCTTGTTCCTAGGGAAAGAGTTCCTTGGGATACCGCATTTGCATTTATAAATACTACTACGACTGAAATTTGATTTATCAAATAAATGTATATAAGAACTACATTGAAACTATGTATATCCAATTATATAAATGTAATTGATATCGAAATTTAAGTTTTAAATTTTAATGTGAGCTAGAGTTCAAAGACACTAGCGTATTTTTAAACAAATGTCATATACATCTGTCTCCACAGGTACCAGGCATTGAAGCTATCACGGCAGCTTTGGAAGACGTGTTTACGCAATTGTTTAAGAAGCGCCTCTTCTTCACATGTGCAGTGCTTCTTAGCACTTTTCTATTTGCTCTTTTATATGTATCACAGGTAAAACCAATACACATCTCAATGTCAATTACAAGTATCGTCCAAATCGGTTACGTTTTGCCTATTAAATGGTTGTTAAACGAAAATTTGAAAACTCATAAGTTGTAATTATATAGTTCTTTCATTTATGTTTATTTGTGGATGCAATATTGTACAATAAAGACATATATGTACCATGTGATGATACTGAGGTAAACGTTGTGTACATTGAAGGCTGGGATATATGTGGTGACGCTGGTGGACTGGTTTGCCTACTTTCCCTCTACAGCCGTGATTGCAATGCTGGAATGCATGGTAGTTGGTTGGTTCTATGGTTAGTGTTGAAGAGATGAGTTTTAAAAAAAGTAAAGCTTTTGTGAAGTTTTATGGTAGACATGTTCCCGTGTTTTTTTCAGGTGAAGAATTGACATGCCTTTGCATGTGTTTGTGGTGGGTGCCATCGGTGGGACAGGATACGTTCACCTTTTCTCGAACACCTGCTCTGCTATCATTACTATATGAAAGTGATTCATACGAACATGCTCATGATATAGTCGGAAGTATACAACCGACTCGAACCTAAACAACTACCGATGACAGTTCCTGCAATTTAGATTCAAATTGGCAAATCAAAACCTGAAATATGAAAAACAAGTTTTAACTTGCAAAAAAATGTATGAAATAACTTTTTGTAGACTAGTCTTTGTGTTTGTCTATCAATGACGCCTTGTCTGGATGCTGCTGTATGATTTGGTTTCCATGTAAATGTCCCCGCCACCGAGCTCAGTTCCTACGCCCCATATATGTTGTAAGGGAGGTATTTCAAAAACATCTGTATGGATTTGGTTCAAAATTGGTTATAATGTGCTTTAGTGAGTGAGTGAGTATGGTTTTACGCCGCTTTGAGCAATATTCCAGCAATATCACGGCGGGGGACACCAGAAATGGGCTTCACACATTGTGCCCATGTCGGGAATCGAACCCGGGTCTTCGGCGTGACGAGCGAATGCTTTAACCACTAGGCTACCCGACCGCCCCTATAATGTGCTTTAAGGTTGTTTGGAGACCCCAGTTGATAACAGTCAGACCTTGACCTCATGTGCAAGGTCATTAGAAGCTTTTGACCTATGTGCTGTCAGCGAGATACCTGAAAATGCATTGCATTCAAAATGTATCAAACCTTTTATTTGGAAGTCCGCAGACGATGGGTGAATGTGGAGATATTTACGTCATGTTCCATGGTCACTGAATGATTATCCCCGCTAGACATACACCGTAGTTTATTGTTATATCACATTTACAAGGTGGGAAGGGTATTTGGGAGAGTCAGCAGTCCCCACTTAATTATTGTGTCACTGACTTATATCAAATTCTCATATAGCAGACTGATTCGGATTTTGAACATGGGTAACACTATTTGGGAAACTTTGATGTTGATGTTCCAAGTATGCATATCATTCAAGTCTATCGTAAGTAGGAAATAAGGAACACGGACGAAATCAAATCCATTGTCATAAATTATCCTGTCCTGTTTGCGGCGAGAGACTTGTCTACGTCAGTGGCAAATACCTGTTTGACAAATTTTAATGCTGTAAAAAGGAGCTAAAGTTTGATAATCAGCCAAATCCGGCAATATAAATGAAGGGATAGATCACGTTGGCTTTGTAACTGGTTTCGTGCGACAATTCGTGCGACAATAATCCTTTAAAATAATTTATATGCCAATTCTTTTTCAGGGACAGAGATGCTTCAGGAGAATATCAGGATGATGTGGGGAAAGAAGATGCCTCGAGTCATGGTCATTAGTCTAAAGTTCGTCTGTCCACTACTTCTGATCGTAAGCTCCATGATATATTGCTCTTTTGTGTAACAGTAAAAATAACATGCTATTTATAAATCGGACTGAAACTGGTCAGTGACTAGGAAGGATAGAGTTCGCATATTGAACTTACTTAAGGCATCTTATAAAAGAAACTAAATTGTTAAATTGTAGAATATGAGAGGTTTTTGGTCAGAGGTGCATACTGCACCTCCAAAGTACAAAAGGAAATTTGAAGAAGTGTGATTTTTTTGAGGATCAAACATAAAAAATTTAAAGTAATACACAATTCACGCATATCTGCGTAAAACAGATTTTATAGGACGTAAAAAGCAACATTGTAATGATAATTATATAAACGGATCACTGAAAATCTATGTGTTCGCGAAAACAAGTAAATGCCAGTGCGTAAGGAGGTGTGTCACCTCATGGAAACGTCAATGGATGAGATAGCATCGCACATCATGTTGGTAAGAGATGTGTCATATTTAATTAAATCCTCCGAATGTCTACCTTAAAATGTCTGAAGTACTTAACCAGGGGGAGTATGATGATGAATCCTTGATTGATTCTTATGTTGTAAGCAAAATGTTCCTTTCGATGAAACTTGAATAAACTGCGATGCTCTAAGGTACCTCAGCGATTGAGAAATGTTCTTGAGCTGATGATAGATTGCCCGACATGAAGAGAAAATCAAAATCGAAATCATCCCTCTTGTCGTACAGCTTGTCAAAGAGGCTGCCATCCACTTTAATGCCAGTGCACATATCCGATAAGATATATATTAAGTTCACGTAGCAACCGATGAGATAACAGTAGATATGTGGGTTTCATAACGTCTTCTGCTTTGAAGTATGTATCTAGAATTATGTGGTGATAGGACTATTGCAATACAGGATAACGGGAAAGGAAAATGTTCAGTAAATGTTCTTGGACAACAAAGCTTGTGTCGATTAGTATCTTAGACGTACGGAACACGTTAACCACGTTTACCATGTACTACCTGAGTATTTTCTTCTTTTCTATATTTAGACATGAATATAAGATAATTCATTCATCTCATGTTGGTACTAATCGCCAAATAATCTCTTGTCCCGGGAGCAATGTCTTCCCTTGCTTAACTGCTGATAAACCTTATTGTGTCGTATCAGGTTACATTCTGCTACTCTCTGTACTCCTACCGACCTCCGAGGTATGGGGACTACATATACCCTGCCTGGGCTACAGGTGTTGGGTGGATGATATCACTCGCATCAATCCTGCCGATTCCTATCATTTGGCTGTGGACGGTTATCAACAGAAATGAAACTTCACTGAAAGAGGTTCACTTCATGTTTTTCGTTTCAAACTACGTTAGATTACATGTGTGTTGTAATTTGTCTTATTAAGACCTTTATCTGTTGTTGATTTTTCACGTATTGTGTTAGTTGGTCACAGTATAAGCACTTTATCATGCACAAAAGCATCAATATAGCAACCAATTACACATGAAACTGCATAAAAGAAACATGTAATTGATTATATGTATATGCTTTTAATATAACAGTGGGCTGCAACATGTTCCAGAAAATTAAAAGATCAATGGAACCCAATGAATACTGGTCTGGTTCTACTGGAACGGAAGGCGTCTTCGAACCTATGGCAGGACATGAACTGACATCGTTCTAATACGAATATGCATACATTTTATACGTCTGAGTAATTGTTTTAAACAGGCTTGTGTATGAAACCTGAGATGACGTACTATCAATATATTCAGATTTATTGGAATCATATTCAGGATCCTTGTAATCACATGTAAACAGATTGTATATGTCCATTTCTTGCAAATGACGTATGAGCATGAAGTGATGATATTGTCATTGAGTCCTTTTGACAAGGTAATTTTGACAAGTCTGATGAAAGGCTGCGTTTCAAGCGAGAAACTGGTCAGTTGGGCTACAACAGAATGTATTGTCGGAAATATTTTACTGACAGTTCTTCGGATGTTTCAATGGATACATGTAGCTTGTATATTTGTCTTACTTAGTTTTAGCTGAAAATGACATTTAGTTCACTCTCAAAATGTCTGACGCTTCCAAACTTGCTGTATTCTCCGCTACACCTAATTTACTAGCTATGGTAAACACTGTCACCAGATTCCAGCAAGTAAAATATACCACTTATCGGAACTCTTTCTACATCTGACATGCAGCCACGTATATCCAAACAAGAAACAAATGTTACAGCTCCATGGGGAGCAATGCCAGGAAGACACTTGAACGAATTTTCAGTCTCTTAATGTGATTAGTTTAAGAGTTCTAGTTTCATTGATGAAGGAAACGGCACTTTTTATTTCTGTACAATCAAGGGTTACTCTGGTTGATGGATAGGTTATTTTAAAACAGTTTGGTATGCACGTATCAACCAAATGACCAGATGGTCATATATGCTTACTTCAAATATAAAATAATGTACAAAACGTTTGTCCAAGTTGTTACTTTTCTACTCACAATACTTAAATGTGACAGTTGAAACATACAGAAAGATGTAACTCATGGAGCTGTCAATCTGCACAGAAACATAAACAACTCGATCAATAACTATGTCCTCGGTCAACCTGCACGAGAAACTGAATCACTTGGTAAATAATATGCATTCCCAGAGAGGCACAAAACCAGGCATTTGTCTTTAGATCTGTATTACCTTATCAAAGAATAGTCTTGAGTAAAAAGACCAACATGATTTTTTTCTATTTTCTGTTTGAATTTGTTTGGTAAATGTTGACATTTTTCAGTTATTTTTTGCACTCTTCTCTTTGTCCCAATTAAGTATCCAGGAAGCTTTAGTTGTCCTGGTTACGCTCTTCTTTTTCTGACTCCCCTCTCATTGGGTCTCTACCTCCCGCTTCTCTGTCCACTGGTGCAACGATGCTTCTGGAAAGAATTGACCAGTTTATAGCCATGGTGGAAGTTAATATCAAGCTCGTTTGAGTCACGTTGACTGAAATATGAATACTGTATGCTCATGAATGATATTTACTATACTTTCTAAAATATTTACACCCTATATGTAGTCTAAACATCCAGCATGTTGACTTTGGTATCTAATATCATGCTGGTTTTTCATGAGACACCATTGAAAGTTAAACATCAGACAGGAAACAGGATATATTTAGAAGATAAATACTATGTGTTTGTCTATTTCCGGGATTTTATCGAGTATTTGCATCTTGGAAATTCATCTAGAGACCCGAAAGCGTTAGCTTGAGGGGCTCGAATGAAAATTTCCAAGATGCAAATACTCGATAAAATCCCGGAAATAGACACACACATAGTATTTATCGATATTGTAAACCTATTGTTCTATTTAGCACTCTTTAACACCTCGTACTTACTCGGCTGTGAGGCGTCAACATCGAACGTTCTATTGTTGCTATGGTGATTGTGATTTTGGTAATGATGACGGACTACTTTCCTGAGTGAAAGGCATTCATAAGTTGCTGGTGCTTCAGTCGAATGTTCACCGTATAATTAATAATAAAAATAAACAAACTCGAAATCGTCTGCGAGTTTGTTTGTTATCATTATCAGTAAAATTATCTGTTGTTATGTCAACATAATCGTTTTTTCAGAGTGTAAACCCCCGGGTGCCACAGCGACACATTTGTCACTCCTCTTCCACCCTCACTTCGAAATCGAATAAAATTCAAAATACATCACGCAGATTAATACACTTCACAGTTTTGAATTCCCCTTTCTGTTTATCATTTACTGTCATTTTAGGCAATTCAAAATCACTGAAAGTGACTTCTGAAAATTAGGTACATTGTAAATCTCGCCAAATCACAATTCACGGCGTTACATAAATATTTACTGTGTGTTTAGAAATCTAAATATCGGATATTTACTCGAATTACCAAAGTAGAAAATTAGCATATTAGCGATCACGGGTATCAAATCACTACTGATAATTCTGAAACGTCGCTGAGAAGCCTAGAATCGTTTAGAATATTTTGGAAAATACGCATACACGAACGCCGAAGTGTACGTTCCGCCACATTGGATTGTGTTTACAAAATGCCGGTTATGAGACGCCTATGCAATCAGGTATATTTCAATATTTAATGCTACACATGCATCCCTGAATACATTTTCGAAACAATGGATTAATGGTCTTTGTCACAAATGCAAATTATCTAGATGAAATCATGCGAAATAAGTTAGGTATGGAAACGAAATCTGTGCTCGGAAAACGTACTTGCTGAAATGTAAACAAAGCAAAATTCAGATTTTATACTGTGTAGCCTTTTTAGAGGTGCTTTCGTCTAATTGTTGCGTACATTGGCTCCATCACGCATTTGAGAATATTCATGGGAAGAGTATCGTTGCACTAATTATGGGAATACACATATATACATTACAATGATGTGGTAAATTCAACAGAAGCCGTTTACAAAAGTTTCCGTCCTGTGTGGCGCCATGACTGACGCTAAATCACGCACAACGATGACGGTAGTTATCTGCATTTCTGACTAATTCTCTTTGTTACATTGGAAAACATGGTAAACAAATAACAGTACGCAGATTGTCAGAATGCTTCTGATTACTTACGTGACCCATTTATGTGTATACGATCCCTCAATCAACGAAAATCCTCCTCTGGAAATCCCGCGTACTGTTGTCAGTTAACACGCCATTTTGTAAAAGTCGGTCACCGGTAGTGATGTCATACGGAAGTAAACATTGTTGTACATATTTGGTACTTTCTTTGAGGTGTAAACTTTCACCCAGCGTGTTCTTTGTTTTTGTCTAGTTTGCATTTTCATCATCGCCTTGATAATCCAGATATGACGGAAACCTTTTTGTGTCGGGTAACATTATATATGAGTAGTAAGCAGCACATAGGATGACGTCACTTATGACAAATTCATCGGTTCGATGCCAAAAAGGTGCTATTTTGGGGTGTGAAAGAAACAGATGACTGCACTCGTGCCTGTCAGATACCATTGATCTTAAAACTCGTTGTTACAAAGCGTATCTAACGAGCGAATCGCGTTAGATACGTTTTGAAACAACTCGTAAGATCAATGGTATCTGACAGACACTCGTGTTGTAATCTCTATTTCCTACCCAGTGATTCGGTCGCTTGCTTCAGGGAATTCAAATCATATTTTCACCCTTTGACATTTGGTCATTTGACCCAAATTAGCCAATCATTACACAGAACACACTTTCTATAGGTTTACAATACGCAATGATGTAATACAATTATCATTAACCAACGATTAAACAGCACATATCCATGTACTTCAACTTCAGCAATCACTTTCCTTGCATAGACAGAAGACTGTGATGCTCTCTGTGTAGGTGGATCCCTGTGTAAAGGGTCCAGGCAAAGACTGATGGTACAGAACCTGAAACATTAAACATATACTCACCGCCAAAAGAAACGCGAACCACAGAAACATTTAGAGAAGTATGCACGTTAAGAAGAAGTTGTTTCCAATGTGTACCACTTAATGACAAAACTAACAATCTGTCGAGTGTTACCACAGATTATCTTTATTCTTATCACGACATTCATGTAATGACCAAACTTTACACGCTAATTCTGCACAAGGCAAATGGTGCCGCTCGAGTCATGGATCTATGACGTCACATGTAATGCGTTCATGAAAGTCGGTTCACTCAACATAAGTTTGTTTTCGTTTGTGCATCGATTCAATCTAATGTCTCCTAAGTTTGAGTAATTCTCCATATAGTTACCAACATGTATGAGATTCACGTTTCTTTTGTCGGTGAGTATATTGTATATAAAGCTAACCATGCGATCAAAATATGTAAGATTGATGGGAATATTTATGTCCTGCTTGTTAGAGTAATCACACAATTACACAATTCAAGAAGATTTTGTTTATAATACATGACATCATTGATATGAGTACTCAATAAAACCTCAATCGTATATACCTGGTTTCCCTCTTTTCCTCATCCCTGAAGTGCTTGTCACACTCGACAGCGCTTTTGGATATCTGCGACGAAGAATATAATGAGGTATTATATTCACTTACCATGTTAAGTTATGTGCATGATAATCCAATATTATGCAAGTTTTCGTGATATATATTTTGATAATCACCACATTTGCTGTTTAAGTAAAAACCTTTTAGGCCTTTCCTACCGCATATTCGTGGTTTTTCCAAGAAGTATTCTTCTTTAGCGAGTTTTGAAGTTCGGTTCGTGAAATGTTCACAAACGTTAAATACAGTAGGAAACCACATACGAAGAAACTAACCAAATACCATATCATCTGCACTACACTTCGTACCATATTAATATACTAGGTCTATATTGTGGCATAGATCCTTCAACATATAATCACAAGAAAAAATACCCATATATACAAAATATACAATTTTGTATATTTGGTATTTCCAAAATATACAATTTTGTATAGTTGGTATTTCCAAAACTATACAATTTTGTATATATGGATAGATTTTACCACTGCTTCATTGATTTTTTTGAACTCGTAAGATGTTATCTTGGGGTTTGCCGCTGTATAAACTTAATTGGGGTTAGAAAAGCACTGTTTGTATAACGAAAGGCTGCCGCTGTCTTAACTAGGTCGGGGTTAGAAAAGCACTGTTTGTATGGGGAAAGGCTGCCGCTGTCTTAACTAAATCG